TTTTTTTGTTTTAAATAATATTTCTTTTGTTTCTTGAGAAGCATTTGTCTGTAAAATTAGTAAAAAAAAATAGCACTAATAGGGTATTTTAAAAATCATTTTATATTTATTTTTGTCAGATGGTGATGACAACGTTCTAGGTCAGGTCGATTAAAAATGTAATTTAAAAAAACAAAATTGCAACTGGGAGCCTGCACCTTAGCATCTTTACATTTCCTAAACATTATTTATCATATTTGCATACATAAGGTTGAGAAATAATTAAAAAAAAAATATGAGAAAATTAAAACCCATTTTGTCCCTATTCTCAAGAATCCTTTACCACCTGTGTTAACAATCCAACTTTCGAAATGCAAACGTCCCTGTTGTACAGCAACTAAACAGCAACATACATAGATAGTTCCACATGCATGCCAAAATAAACTGACTGAAACCTTTCAAACTTCCCAACATATACATTAAACCAAACCAAATTTATAAACTGGCATGTATTTCTATAGCAAACCTATAAAAGCAGTTTGTATTTTTCCAGGATTAAAAGAAAAAAAAAGTGTGAATACTCAGAGGTTTCGAAATGAGCTGGGGAAAATATTCAGAATGTTTTATTTCAGAGGGAGTACTTTTATTGATGGAAAAAAGCTGCAAATCCAAGTTTGCCATGTGTTACTCAGCCCAAAGAGACCTAAGATTTATGAAAAGGCTCAAGGAAATAAATCAGCAGATGGAGGTGCAACTTCAAGAAAGTTCAGGTCAGCGGACCTGCCTCATGCTTCCTTTTGGCATATGCCATCTTTAAAGATGATCAAAATCAAAAGAACACAAATTTTTCTTTAGCACATTCCTTTTCACTAACTGGTGGAAAAATTCCTCCCTGTTGGAGCAAGTTTCCTCTCCATATGCTTTGCTCATTCAAGCATCATTATGGTCTAACAATAATAAAAAGCAAGAGTCTGTCAGCTCTGAATGTCTCATGAAAACCATGTGCAAGTGTCTTTGGAATTACATCAACTCTACATTTAAATTTAAATTGCACACAGCCTTTTTCGAGCACCTCATTACGTTATTGTCTCTGCAGAATTATCATAAACGTTGATTAAAAGGAATTCAACAAAGCTTAACTTGAGATTTGAATATTTATGGATTTAAGATCACTTATGAAACTCAGAAACGCTCTTTACCAATTTTAAGGTATGACAGGAGAAAAAAGAGAAAAGCTGTCTTAACAAACTTTGGAAGAGTTTCAAAAAGAAACTCTACCAAAGCCAAAACTGAAAAATTATTAAACTAAAAAGTGTCAGAAAATAGAAACAAAAGCTATAATCAATCATAACAGAGAAAAAGATATGATAAAAAGGAAATAAAAACTTACTGTCAGTGGTTTCTTCTCCAACCAGTGGCTGGCCCTCTCCATGACCATAAACAGCAAACACTGACACCTGGTAACGTGTCTCTGGGGTAAGACCATCCAGGACGGTGGCGGTGGTGTCTCCAGGTGTTGTCTTTTCTCCAGTCTCGTCACTGAACAGGGACTTCCAAGTGACCCTGTACTGGCGAACATTACCTGGAGCTGCCTTCCAGGACACCACAAAACTGGTGTCGGTGACGTCTTTGGTCACCAAGTCTCTGGGTGAGCCAAGCTCTATGGATAAATTAAGAACAACTACAGGTAAGTAATTGCATTATGACTTTAGGAACAGTACAGTATGAGCTTCCAGTTTACTTGTTTTTGCCAAACAATTTCCTCTGCGTTTTTTTGTTTAACTGTAAAAACAATTGGTGTATAACAGCTAATGTTCAAAATGCTTTAAAATGAGAGTTCAGGGATTTTAAAGTGGGGTGCATTTAGATTTATTGGTCCTGGAGTCTGATGCTAAGGGCTAGCCTTAGAGGGAACAAGTCCAAAGAATGCGTAGACCTCTCTTAAAACAACTCCAATCTCAAAAACATCTTAGACCTTTACTTGAACCCTATTTAATGTGCAACTAAAGTAAGCTGCTTTTTACACATAAGTGGGGAATTATTAAAAATATGTTTTATTACGTTTTGTGACTGGCTTTTCTTTAGAGAAAGATCAAAGACATGCCCCAACAAGATCCAAGACCAGAACGTCTACAAGATTTGTCAGACTAAAGTCCTCAAGGGCCGATGTCCTGCAAGTTTTAGATTTGTCTCGACTTAAACACACCTGAGTCGAATAATGAGATGAACTGTCCTGGCTAGAAAACACATTTGTTCTTGATCTGTCCACATCACATCAAAGAGGAAAACTATCATACTCTTGTAAAGTATGCAAAGGCCTTTACTATACTGCAGTTATGTTTGCAGAACCTGAAGTCTGACTAGCTGACTGTAAATCCACCATGATCATTGCCAAACAAATACAAGATCTTATTAAGAACAGGAACAAATGAGCTTAGCTGCTCAAACAATAGAATGTACCAAAGTCCAATAAAGTTTACTTTTCTCTTGATGAACTTAGGGCAGAGTGATGAGCTGCAGCTAATGAGTCTGATTGATGTAGCTTGATGTGCCGACCACAATTTTAAAATAGTAGCACGGAAGCTGAAAATCAGAAGCAAAATTAAAATTCAGAATCTCTCTGTCCCTTTAAGAAACTCCAACAAAATGATTGCTTTATCAAGCTGCGACTGATGTCTAATATAGACATCTTGTTATTCGAGGAAGTGAACAAAACACAAAATGGACAGCAGGAGCAGACCTAGCAATAAACCACCACCACTAATCTGTCTCCACTTCAACCCCTCAGGATCTGTTTGAGCAACTTGATTTTCTGCATGCCTCCTGGAAAAAGTTCTGGAAAACTCATTACAAATCATATATCGCCCCAAAACCTCCCCCCGGCAGAACTTGAATTTTTCCACTGAAACAGAGGAAACGAGACCCACAAAGTGTGTTTTCTACAGTTGCAGATGTTGTGCGAGCCCTGCTGTTTTTGCTCACTTTTCCCGGGGGACCACTGTGAAAGGAGAAACACAAGGAAATGCAGAGGAGGGGATTTTATGATGGACAGCCACCACATGCTTGGCTGAGAGGGAAACCAACGTCGAGGTGGATTTGTCTGTCTGGCTGCCATACAGCGATGGATTCACCACAGGAAGATGGGCTGCTGCACATAGACTCCCACACATCCTTAGGGATGCTGATCTGATCGTCATTCAAGCCTCTTAACCCCAACATGCCAGCAGCTAATGGCAATATAATCACAGACACAGCAGAGCCTTCAAGCAGGGTGGTCCAGCACAAACTCCATTCATCAAACAAAATGAAAATGGGATAGAGAAATGACACAATGTAAAGAATGAGCCACAAAACAAATTCAACATAGAGGAAATGCATAACTTTTACAATTGTCTCAAAGCAGTAACCTTTAAGTCCTTCTGGGTGTCCACTTATTCTACTAGAACTGCCATAGTGCCCATCTGCCTACCTGTGAAGTAGAGCAATCTGAACAGTGGCCATTTTTCATGAGTGATGGCCAAGCCCAGAAGCTAGTGAAGAGTTCCAGATTTTGGAGAACCACGAAAAAAAGCACGGGCCTCTTAAAAATAACCACATGATCAAATAGAAGATTTATCTTAGCACAGCAGCGTGAGCTGGATGAACTTGACTGACTTTTCCAGCAGCCTTGTGAGCCGTAGCACGAAAAGATCACAAGATAATGACTTCTGCAGGCAGCGGCTTGCTTTTCATCAATACTTAGAGGCAAACTCAAGAGCAGTGGACACTCCAAGGAGCAAAGCACTCATAAACAAAGCACATGGTACACAGGCGCCACCATGGTTTACAACCAAGAATTAAATACTCATTCAGAATTTGTCAGTTTTTCAAGTGTGTTTAGTTACCAAAAATATGTTTACATGTACCTTGGTTGTGTACATGCATATTTACAGAAAGGATTGCAGCAGTTTCTACTCGGCACTCTTTCAAATTGTTTAATTTATAAAGTCAAGAGGCTCCTAAATCAAGGTCTGAAAAGGGGGTAACTCTAATGATGATCAGGTAAAACATTATGACCACCTGTTGATGAGTATTTTGGTAACCTATCTGCTGCTAAAACAGACCTAACAAATTAATCAGTCTAATGTCCACATTGTTTCATAGCATTTAACTGCTTTTGTCAGATTGCATCTTCCAAAAGTAGATCCCATCCCAGTACCAGGTGGGTTCCGGAGCTCGATATGCTTACTGTCCAAGTACAAAATATGATCAGATCAGGCCACCTGATCGTCCATTCCTCTATAGTCCAGTTCTGATGCTGACAAGTCCATTGTTGACACTTTCAGTGGCAGACAGGAGTCAGCGTGACCATGTTGCCAGTTCACTACTGTTCCTTCCTTGGATCAGCTTTGATCCTAACCCATCAAGCCATCGCAGCTGAAATGAATGTTTGTTGAAAACCCAAGGAGACAGAACAAACTATCTTTTCCTGCAGATATTGTGATTTCATAACTTTTGCTTTACGAGACACAACCTTCCAAACAAGAGAAGAAAAGGTCAAAATTCAGCATACAGTAGCAAAGTTTCAGTGATGGAACAAACTGTTTTTTTGTTTTCTTTTTTTTTCAGCAGAACATTGGTATTATGTGCCTATTTCATAAATCAACAGAGAAATAGCTGCTGAGTTCAATGATTCCACTGAACTCTTACTCAGTCTGAATTGCTTTTTTTTCCACAAACCCCTTCAAAATGACTCCAGGAAAAATGAAGTTTTGCCATCTCAGCGCTGTCACCTTACTTTATTTCTCTTGGTTCACTTAAACATACACACAAACCACAAAGATGAGGTCTTCACTGTTTGTAAGCCAAGTCTGTCTGCCCCAAGCCATACATCACAGGATCTTCGCAGTGGTGAAGAAAACTATTCTGACAATACGTCTGACAAAGCCTGAAAATGTCTAAAAGGTAGCCCAGGGCATTACCCTGTGTTCTTCTACAAATTAGAACTGGCCACTTTGGACAGTTGAACTTTCAAGTATTTAGCTGAGTCCCATTATCCCTTTGCTCTCCAACAGGGGTCCCCAAACTTTTTCCTGGGAGGGCCACATGACTGTTCCCTTTTCTGGTCGGGGGCCGGTCAAAGAAACCTTAGAAAAGTTTTGTTGACGAGGGGAGGGGGGGGGGAGGGATGGATTACTGCCGACGACATATTAGCGTTTGTAGATAGATTTTTACCCAGAATGCAAATGGAAAAAAAAACCGTGAGCGAAACGGTGACTGGTACTGACTAGTATATATTCCATTGAGGGAAACTAAGTTTCATATCTGCTCAAGAGCCCCCCTGGTGGTTGAAGAAAAATCCACATATATATGAAAAAAAACACTGAAAGCTCTCTGGTATTGTTCAGGGGGCCAGACCAAATGAGGAGACGGGCCAGATCCGGTATTGTTCAGGGGGCCAAACCACATGAGGAGGCGGGCCGGATCCAGCCCACGGGCCATAGTTTGGGGACCCCTGCTCTATAATCTTTTGGCATAGCTGGCTCATACTGACAATACAGCTGCAGATGGGTCAACTGTGCATCAGCAATGCAAAGCTTCGATTCAACTACATCCTAAAGATGCTCTGTTGGATTTAGATCTGGTGACACTAAAATCCAATGAAGTCCAGTAAACTTATTATGTTCAAGAGACCAGACTGAGAGGATTAGAACTTTGTTACATGCTGTATTATCTTACCCATCAGAAGATGTGCACACAGTAGTCATAAATGGACAGACGTGGTCAGGTAGGTATTGGACTTGAAACAATGCTCAAGGATTCCCAAGCATGCCAATAAAATATCCCACACAACATTACACCTGGAGCAGCCAGAACCTTTGATATAAGATAGGATAGATCCATTCTTTCATGTTGTTTACTCTGAAACGTAGCCATACCATTTGAATATTGCAGCTAAAGTTTGGACTCATTGGAACACGTATCATCTTTCCAGGCTTTTATTGTCCAATTTTGCCCTGGTTTCCAGTTCTGACCTAAGAAGAGAGACCTCCAGACCAGGCTTCTGCTACTGTAGCCCTTGTGCTTCAAGGTTCAATGTGCTATGCAAACACAAAGGATTTTCTCATTCCTGCTTTGCAACAAAGAAGGAATGAAGGAATTAGCTACCATATCATTCTTTTATTTCCTTTATTTAACCAGGTAAACCCCGTTGAGATCTAGATCTCATTTTCAAGAGGAACCTGTTTTTCTATACTGCACTTCAAAACTGCATTTTTTTTTTTAACCATTCTCTTTTTCAGAAAATCCTCTGCAATCATGATCGTTCCATCAAATTCCACTAGGCAATCTTTCTTATAACAACATCAATACATTTTAAATGACTAAGTCCACTTTTTTTCCCCATTCTAATGGTCAATTTAAACTTCAGCAAGTCGTTTTCACCACATCTAGATACATGAACAGTAAATAAGCTGAAATGAAGGGCAAGCAGTTACTCTCATGCAACTGGGTGAGTTGGTATTTGTATTGACTAGTTACTGGGTGTGATCATGTGTTGGTATGACAACTTTTCAGGTATCATGTGAACAGTAGATTCAGTTTTGTTGGCTTGAATGTGGAACCATTTGATGTTTTAATAAGCTTTGAACCCACCCAATAGCCTAAGGCATTGTATTTCACATTATGAAGTAACATTCTTTCCTCTCATCCTCATGCTGTGTCTCTTCCTGTCTTTAGCTCCACCCTCGAGGAAGATTAATAGACAGTCCGCTCTCAGACGAGACAGACAGATCACCCACCATTCAAGGCAACATTAGGTAACATCTTCCACAGGCGGAATAAAACTCCCTGAGATAAAGTAAATAATTTCACTATGTTTGTGTATAATATCCACAAACGGGATGTTCATCCAAGTCCTCCTTCTGACACCTTCTGTGTATTCCAGCTGAGTCCTCTCAGGATTTTTCTGTCCAGCTCAAAGCTCCTGTCTTGGCAGTTGCTTCTTGTTTGTCACAAGGGAGGTCTTTGTGCAAGCCTTTGAGTTCGTGCCTACACAGATTTCACAAAGTGGGTCATTCAAAAAGTGTCACCCAACACTGTTAGATTATTGTTGTGGAATGACAGTTTTATAGCTTTAGGTGGGTAAGCAACGTGCTTTGTCAATGAAGCGTTTTGTGAGTGGGCGTGTAGCTGACAACACCACAGATTGGGTCTTAATGTGCTAACAAAGCACTTTGTTTGCTTAGAACAACCAAGAGAAAATAAATTTCCTCTCCTTCACCCCAATTACATTTACATATAATTATTTCTATGTTATATAACTGCTTTCCATAAGTAAACTCTTGGTTGTGATTTAAGACAACCACTAGACTGTGTTCTCTTTGGCACTTAAAATGACAAATTAAACTCAGTCAAAAATGTTCCTGTTATTTCAGTCAGTTTCTGATGGAGCACCCTAATTTAAACCAGGCCATCCTAAAAAAAATTTGTGCCCGTTCCTGTGCAGATGGGCCAAGAACACTAATCCTCTTAACCTTACCATAAGAATCCATCTTCAAACCAAGCAAATATGTTTAATGTTCAGCAAAATTCAGTGATTGATAGAAAGCCTTCTAGTGCAGAATAGTGCGCTCAAGGTAGTACCCTACTTTAAGTTACAAAGTAAATCCTTTAGCTCCTTCAGAACGGAAAGTGCAACAGTGGTATTCTCTGTTAAACAAAGTATCTTTGTTGTTGACCTTTCAGACCTTGCCTCCATGTAGCTCTCCCTCTCTGACCTTCTTCTCAAGGGTGACTACAACAAACTTCCTGCGCTGTGTGAGATGACCAGAGCACCAAGCCACCTTTTGTTCCATGATCAACAACATAGCTCACAGATGGCCTGCAGCTGCTGAATTCTCAGTTCTGTCAGATGGGTTTTGCTGAAAGTAGACATTTGGCCACAATTATGTATTTTCAGAGTAAAATGATATTTTGTATTAGCAACAAAATATCCTAAATATATCAGATGGGCTATAATAATTCAATAAATGACACATCCCATATAAACCAACATACAAAAGTACTGCCAAACAAGTATATGACTTAGACTAGATGCAAGTTGTTCCATATGTTTTCACCATTTACGAGCATTCCAAATTTATTTAATTCCCACTTCCTTAATGGGAAGCAAAGCTACCACAATCCACCATCTGTGCAAAAAGAATGACTTTGAGTGCAGCACTCTTTCCTTACTTCTGAAACTTGTACAAACAGTGGTCCAACTCATTGTGCCTTGTCAATGTACTCATATCAGTTTTACTTTACGTTCCATTACAATCACAAACTACATCATATTTTATAAAAAAAAAAAAAAGTTGTGTAAAAAATGTGGTGGAAAAAAAAATGTATCAGATTTTACAAATAAAAATTGAAGAAGTGTGACATGCAGAACGTAACACCCTTTTAATCTGATACCCTACAATAAAATCTAATACAAGATACACAACACCTCATTACTAAGTACAGAGTTCCTCTGTGTGTAATTTGAACTCAGATTTGTGAAAAGCTTTGGTTGAAAAAACACCGTAACAAAGACCCAGAAACACAGCAGACAAGTCAGGGATACATTTGTGGAACAGCTTAGAAAGGTTAGGCTACAAAAACAATATTCCATCTGAGAACAACTCATGGGTATAATTGCAAACTTAAATGACTAACTCCCTAAGCTGACAGCTCATGGAAGTGGAACATTAATCATAAAACCAACAAGGAGGCCACTGCAGCATCAAGGATTCACAGCTCAAGTGGGAGAATCCATAGGACAATTATTAAATATTCGCTCTACAACTCTGGCGCCTAGAAGATTGGCAAGATTTTGAGTTGTAGAAAGAGAGCCAAGGTAATTTCCTCATGCAGTTTGCCACAAATGATTGAAAGGAGACAGCAAACACACAAAATAAGGTCAGATGTGAAAAATAAACAACTATAATATAGCAAATAGTTTTTCTAAAAATCTAATAAATTACTGAGCTGAGTACATATGTACGTCTCCCTTGTTATATTTTTACACAATGGTACACTTTTCAGATTTTGCAATAAATTTTGAAAGGATCTATTACTTTACTTCCACATCACCATTTTATGCTTCTTTGTGTTATTCCAAGAAAATGACACAATTATTTGATTCAGAAATTTTGTGACAGACTTGCGACATAAAAAAGTGAATTAATTTTAGTTTTCAGCCATGCGGAGGCATGACAAACTAGAAATCCTTAACATTTTTTTTTTCCAAAATGATCATCTCAGTCTAAGATTTTATGAGAAAAAGAACATAATATATTCATCAACACAAAATACCTTGTTCAACATACTAACATCTAGGAGTTTTAAACTTTCACTTTAAGTGGAATTGCTTCCTACCTTCTAAAGTAGTTCCTGTACCCAGAAGAGGATCCCCCAAGCCGGTGGAATAGCGTGCAGTCACAAACAGCTCATATTCAGTGGCTGGTTGGAGGTTCTTCAACATAGCCTGGGTCGTATCTCCATTGACAGATATCTCCTTCCTCTCACCTCCTTCTGCAGGTTTATAGGCAATGCGGTACTGAACAACATTTCCCGGAGCAGCCTGCCATGTCAGTTTCATTGTTGATATTGTTTCTTCAAAGACACGAAGGTCTCGTGGAGATCCCCGAACTGAAAACAGGCATGAATGATTCAGAAAGCTACTCACGACAGAAAAAGTATACTGATCAATTGAGGTTTCCTGGCTTACCTTCCTTGGTGGTACCATCAATCAACATTTCATCTCCCATGCCACTTGCATACTCGGGGGACACAGAGACGCGGTAGGTGGTGATTGGGAAGAGCTCTTGGAGAACTATGGTAGTTTCTGCTCCAATGGTCTGGGCCTCTATTATTTCTCCTGTGCCACTTAGAGGAACATATGACAGGCGGTACCTAATCACAGCACCAGGAGCAGCCTGCCATGAAACCCTGAAACTGTTTGTTGTTTCCTCTGACACTCGCAGGTTCCGAACTTGGCCTTGCTCTGAGAGGAAAAGTTTGATTAGAAATGGAAAAATCGACCTCCTATTCAGAAATCTTATAACAAACCTGAATAAATCTTTTACCTTCAAGAGTTGTTTCTTCACCGGTCAAAGGAAAACTGTCTCCTTTGTCATACTGAGAAAAGACATTGACTTCGTAGGTGGTGACTGGGAAAAGATGGGGAAGAATGGATGTGGTGGTATCTCCTGGCACTATCAGGGAAACATAGTCTCCAGTGATATCTTCAGCCTTGCGGAAACGCACAAGGTAAGACAAAACGGCAGCAGCAGGAGCTGTCCAAGTAGCACGGAAGCTTCTGGAGGTAATCTCAGAGAAACGGAGATCTTGAGGAGAAAGGAGGCCTGCACGCAAAGGAATATCTCTTTAGAAATTTTGTTTTTTTAGATTGGGTACAGAAGCTAAAATTCTGGCACATTCTGAAGTGGATCTACTATCGCTGTGTTCAGCTCTTAAACTGTAAAATTCATTGTGTTACTACCTAACACTGAGTGGAATATTTACAGTGAACAAGCATAGACTATATAGAAACTTCTCTACGTCCTCTTAAACTTTCAGTGACTTTTGATTCAGTAGGAACAGCCTGGTTGCTTGAATCCAATTGATTCAGTACCTATTGTATCTAATTGCACACATAATACTTTCCAACCTCTCTTAGTGAGCATGCTTCTCCAATGTTAAAATGCATGAAACTGAGCACAGCTTCAAGCATATCTGACTGGTTTTCTGCCATGCAACTGAAAAATCTTAATATTAAGATCAAGACAGGTATTCTAAGATGTAATTTTTTTAGAATTGTCTATTTGTTCTCAAGTAAAAGGCATCCACAAAGCAGTGCCAGTGTCTTAATGACATTTAAGTGAAAATTGAAGTAATAAGTTCATGTTTAGCTTTATGTTATTATATTGCTTACAGTTACTGGCACTTTATCTTCTTTTTTAATGTCTACCTTCACTGCTTTTTTAAGATTAGTCTTAATAACAAATGTAAAATTACTATTTTGCAGTTGTAAGATAGGAGAAGTATTGTTTTAAAATTGCTTAAATTGTTTTAACAATTTGTGTTTCTGAAGTGTGCGCTGCTGGCCAAGAGGTCAGTGTGTTGCCTCTCGGCCTGGTCAACCTTGTAAAAAATACTTTAATCCCTAGGTTTTGTTTTTTTATTATTATTATTCTGGTTTAAAAAAAAGTTAATGATGAAACAAGTAATAACAATAAACTTGGATTACAAAGGTAAATGCAACTCTATATTATTAAGTCTTGTTTATCAATAGACTGACAAATTTGGTCATTTACCTTTATATTGAGTAAAATAACCAACTAAAGCTGTAAATATTCTTTAAATACTTTGCACTCACTTTTCTTTTTGATCTTCAAAAGTTCCTGTTCAATCCTCAGACAGATGGACTGAGTCAGCTCCTTGGAAATTCTCTGGAAAGCATCAAAGTCCTCAACTTCATAGACATGAGTGTCAGCTGGCGGATTGGCAATGGCCTCCAGCTCAGACCTCACTGCATCCTTCACACCAACAGCAAAGATCTCCACATCAACATTCCTCAGTTTGGCGGCCGCATCCTTAAAAGAGTCTGATGACTTTCCATCGGTGATGAGGACCATGACACGAGGAACATTATCCCGCGCTCCACGACCTGGGACGAAGATCCTTTCTCTGACATATGTCATTGCTTTGCCAGTATTTGTGGAACCACCACGGTACGGGAAGCTACGCACAGCTTTGACAGCAGCATTAATGTCATGATGGGTGTTTAGGGCAAACTCTGTGTGTGGATCTCGACTGTACTGGACCAAGCTAATCTGAATTTTATTGGGTCCAATGTCAAAGGAAGTGACCAGCACCTCGAGGAAGGCACGGACTTTAGCAAAGTTCTGTAATCCAATACTGTATGAGCCATCAACCAGTAGCACCACATCAGCCTGCACATCCACTCCCAGGGAGCACTCTAGGAAATAACAGGACATTATAAATTAAGTGACTACATTTCATAGAGTGTGTTTTTTCAGCAAGAGTAAATTCTGCACTTACCAGTGGACACCTTGACCGGCTGAGTCTTTGCTAGATCCAGAATGGGTTCACTTGGAGTCAGACCTTTCAAGGCAAACAAACTGATCTCATACTCGGTCTCAGGAGAGAGGTCTCGTGCATTTATAGATGTCTGTGTGGGTCCAATGTACAGTTCTTGTCGCTTCATTCCAGGCACCATGGGAATAAGGGTCAGCTTGTAGCCTGTGATTTCACCCGGGGAGGGATCCCATGTCACCCTCATTGACTTGGATGCAATTTCTGTTACTTGCAAGTTAGAGGCAGGCTCCACCACTGGTAAAAGATGCAAAATAAAGTATATTATTTGAGAAAAAAAATTGTAAGTCAAACACAGAATCTCAAACACATATTAAATGATTATGATTTTACTTACTTTCTTCCCCACTGACCAAAGAGGTAAGCTGCTCATCTACACCAGAGCAAACTTCAGTGATGATCTTTTTCTGGACATCTTGGATCAGGTCAAAGTTGGGCACATTGTATACATGCTTGCCGTGAGGTGTAGAGGCAATTTCTTTGAGCTCATCTTCATCTGCTCCTTTGATACCTGCACGGAAAGACGTGCGACAGCACCAATAAATCAAGCGTTCAATGCTGTCTGCTTTGCAGATGTGAGAGACGCTTAGCTGCTTTGGAGTCCGGCTAAAGTTTTGAAAAACAACAGTATTTCACTTTTCTTAAGGGCAAATGTGGATCTCATGATGAAAATCAATGGAAAACTAAAACAGTTTCCAAGAACAGACAACCCTCCACGATTTAACAAAACCCTGAATAATAAAACATACCTAGTACAAATATTTCCACTCCGATGTTCCTAAGTTTTTCAGCATGCTCCTCCACTGGGTCCTGGGATTTTCCATCAGTGATGATCATGGCTACCTTGGGAAATCCTTTTCTTGACCCAGCTGCCTCAGTGAAGATGTTTTTCATCAGGTAATCTATGGCATCACCTAAACGAAGAATTATACATCTTGTAATTTTTACATTGGCAGATTCAACTTAACACATTGACACAGTCTTTACATTTAAAATTAAATCAAATTCTCTCCAGCCCCCTTACCGGTCATAGTGTTCCCTCCTTTGTAAGGCAGTGAGTTTATGGCTTGCAGAAGGTCTCCTCTTCTGGTGTAACGAGTGAGGGGGAACTCAGTGCGAGTGTCTGTGCTGTACTGAACCACAGCAACACGAGTTTTGTCCTCGCCGATGTCAAAGGCCCCCGCCAGGGCACCAATGAAACTACGGATATGCCTAAAGTTTTCTCTGCCCACACTCCACGAGCCATCCACCAGAAAAACTAAATCTGCGATGGCGCTCACAGAACATTCTGAGAAAACACATTAGAGAAACAAACAATATGACGGGCAATTAGTGGAGAGCAAAAACATTTAGATCTTGCATTAAACATTTTGATTGGTCGGGATTATCGAGGTTTGAAACAATTATAATAAAACAATTTTTGTTTCTCAAAGTAAATCAATTTATATTCTAAATAAGTGCCAACAAGGATATGACAGCAAGCTGGATTTCAAACGATGCTTTTTATGCCTCATTTCTTTTGAATGTCTAAATAAAATCAAATCCCTGACAGGTAGTTGGATGGCTAAGAGTTGCATTCAGACATCAAAAGGAAAAATCAACTGATGCCAAACAGTGGGCTGGTATAGTTATTCCAGCAGATGGCTTTATAGACTAAACATTTAGCTCAGGCTCCACTGACTACAGTCGTTTTTTCAGCTTTAAAACCCACAAAGATTTCAATCATAAATGAAATTTTCTGGAACATTTAACATGACTCCATTGGCAGAGTGTATGTGGTCTCTTTGAATATATGTTCACATACCCATTTCTCAGAAGCCACATTCGGTCAATTAAATGTTTGGTGAATTTTTTATTTATTTATTTATTTTTTTAATGAATATTTTTGATTAAGAGTTTTAAAGATGGTTCTGATCCATAATAATTATGTTAAATTTGCTCTCTTGTTCGGATTAAATTAACCAAATCCCATCCTGGTAGTCTCAAAGATTTACCTATTTAGCAAACACACTTCTATGATTAAATTTTATAAAAAAGGAAGAAAAAAATTAGGTCAAGTTTTTGGAGAATGCATTCAAGGGGTGGTTTTGTTCAGATTTTGGTTGCTGCACAGGTAAACATACTCACTGATTGCATCTGAATGTGGCTTCCTCACTTTTCCACTTGTGTTACTTGACTGAACTGAAACAAAAGGAAAACTTGGTGAGTGCAACAGTAAAACTCCAGATCCACGGACAGAGAACAGGCAAGGAAATCAACACATCATAAAACTGAGTCCCCAGGATAAAAACCACATTCATAAACTATGAAAACTCAGCAACTCCAAACAGTAAACATATAGTTTTTTTGTGACTTTCCGATGTCCCTGTGGCTTAATGGAAACTGAGTCTTTTCACTTTTTCCATGCACAAGTTACCTGCAGAACAAAGTCCTCGTCATTCCATTTTAATCTTAGTAAAAAGCCCAATACGTTACTAAAATTTCTGTATAAAAACCTTGGATTTTCCATGCTGTCTCACAATACAGAGTAAGCTAAAATACCATAAAGGTCCTCGGACCTGGATGAGTACAGGTGCAACTCAACAAGGTAGAATATAATTGAAATGTAAGCTATTTTACAGTTGTAATCCAATTCAAAACTTATATAAATTTCAAATAATATATTTAAATCATTCATTGATGTAAGTTTTTACTAATACTGCTGGAAATTTTGAACTGAGACCGATGGTCCTCCCTATGACTGTGCATGCCATAAGGTGTAATCATCAAAATGAAAGGAAATGCAAGGTAGAAATACATGATTCTGTGTGTAGTGAATTTCTTTAATGCATAACTAAAGATTTATTTTTGCAGTAAGATTATTCTTTAGTGAGATGAACCTAGAATCCTGGCGATGTTACTTTTAAAAACTGTCATTCTATTTTATTTATTTATTTATTTATTTCAATTTAACCCATTATTCTTTTCCCAAGCTGAACTCATACATACTTGTCAGTTGTCCATAGATGGGGATGCTCTCCTCTGAACCATAAAAGGAATTTATTGACACCGTGTAGTCTAAATCGGGTGTCAGGTTGTTGAGGAGTGTTGTAGATATTTCTGCACCGAGGTTCAAATATCTTGCTGGTTCATCTGGGGATAACATGATTCTCCAGTTACAATATTGTTTGGGTTTATTTTATGTTTCAGTTGACTTGACTTAAATTGCTTCATGCTTACCTGCATCTGATACGACCTGTATTCTGAAGCCCTCTATCGTTGCTGAGGGTCTTACCCATGACATTTCCACTGTGTTCTCATTTAGTATTTTAAATTTCAAATCTGAGGGCGGTTCCACTGCAAACAAAAGATCAAACACTGTTAAATCACGTTACAAAATAAACAGCATGTATGAATGTGGATATAAGTTTTGATCAAATTAAAACAAAAGGCCATTTGATCCAAGCATATACATAAACCCCAACTACAAACACTTCACAACTGAAGCGCACTTGTTCGTTGTTGGGGGCAGGCACAAAGAACTGACATCCATTTGTGAGAGTGACAGATGGAGAACATGTGACAACAATTAAAATTAAAAATAAATTTAAAAAAAAAAAACGGAGTGAGAAGCCATTTTGGAACAAAATGGCACCTGTTTGAGTTGCTCAAGCAACTCAAGCAATGGCAAACACATTTCATGTGCACAAAAAGTGCAAAGGCTGTGTGAACCATACAACACATGCTAAGTGCAATCATCACATTGCATGCCCCGACCGCATACTACACGGCTTTAATGATGGAGTTGGACTCAGTATTACAAAAAGAAAACAACAGTTACTGATTATACAATGGAATCAAGATTGCCATATGGTTACTGATGGTCAGAACAGAACACCATATGTTATATATACATTGTATATAAACATATTTCAGAGACAAGAAGTGGTTTGTAGTTTATTTGGTTAAGACTCTTTGCACAAGTGAGTGGCACACATCCATTGCAAACCTGTAAAAAAGAATACACAAATCGTCGCTGGAGACTCTTGTGTACTTTTTTCTCTGGCTTAATGCACCAGAAAGGCAAGTGAAAACTTTGTTCAACCAAAAAAAAAACATAAATAAAAGTTTAAAACAAAGAAAGAGTGTGCATAAATACAACAAACAGAACAACAAAAAAGACTAAAGACAAGACGGTGCGTCTTTACATTCAGATGATTCAGTCACAGTATCATGCATCATGTACATGAGAAAGTTGTTTGAATGAACAACTTTGACTGACTGGACTATGGGTAGGTATCCATGTACAAGTTGGAGTCACACAGACAGAGATGACAAACATATTTTAAAATGATATTCTGTCATAAAATGGAAAGGATAGTTTTATTATGAGTAATTTACATGCATGCATATTTGTAGTAATCAGTAATATTTAAACTATTTTTTTCTTCTTTTTTTTTTTTACAAATTACATGCAATTTTAAAAACTGACAATAGGACTTTTATAAGAGTCCAGTTGTTAGCCCAGTGTTCTGGCATATAATTTCTTCTATTAATGATTCTTTAGTTAGCTTGGTATCCTTGAAGAAGTGCATATCTTTGTGAGATGTTTTAATTAGTTGATTTTGCATGTAGCTAACCAAAAAGCAACTATTTGAAAACAATGAAGAACCAACACTAGCCGCATATGCTAGAAGTAACAACAGCAAGTTTTAAGCATGTCTCATGTCTCCTTCTTTGTTTTTTTTTTTTTTTTTACATGTATCTATAACGATATTATTCACTGCATTTTGGTTGTTTTAATGTAGGGATGATAACATTTCTAGAAACTATCATATTTATTTGGAACATTTTTGTAATTCAGTCTATTGTACATTGTGCATATGACTGCCAAACTATTGTACTGTACATAAAAAAATAAATAAATAAATACTTGTGTAAGTGGGTCCCTAAAACCGACTCTATGCCTGGGGCCTACATGGGGCTAGGGCTTGCCCTGATTACAAAGTACATTAAATGTCCAAACTGATTTTTTTTAAAAAACAAAAAAAAAACAAAGAAAAGTACAAGAATGGATCAGCTTTGTTAAATTTGGGCCAATTTAATATATCTGGGCTAAAATGGTACTATGACATGTTTTTGGTCATTCTGTCTAGTTTTTATGTGCATTTGACAGAATTTGAAGAGATGATGCTGTATTAGATACTTTTTAGAAAGGTCAAATTCAAAGGTCAATATAGGAAATTATACTTTGTGTATCAAGCTTTCAGTCTTTTCAACTTAGCATTCAACTTGTGGAAGTGGGGCACCAAAGCTGGCTGGGCTACTTTGCTACATGTTGCCCTAAAGATAGCTTTCATTTCATGTATAAAAAAACACCCCAAAATATTTATATTGTTTGAAACTCACAACAGTGAAAAAGCAGGACTTATTAAGTTGAATTTAAATGTAAATTTGGCTTAGTTCAGCTAGTGTAGAACAATGATGCAGATGAAATTAGTTTAAGAACATGCAGTAGGCATCACCAAACACACGGGAGGGAAGAATATCATTTTAAAATTCACTATGAGGAAAGGGCCATAGCTCGGAACAAACAGGCAGACGACAAACAGGAGCCCGCCAAATACTTAAAAACTTGGAGTGGAGATTCACCAACCTGGCATTTCAACTCAAGGAGCCCCGCAGATCGCGTTCCCCTTTATTTCTTCATCGAATGGAGGTATAGAATTAAATGTTGGATGTGTAGGAGTGTAGAACGGTCTGGTGTTGCAAATTGATTTGTCAAGAATTTTAGGAACAATACTTGTGAATGGGTCTTCAGTTGGTTGCTTCCACATGTGTTCATGATGAGATGGTTTGACAGTGTTGTTTGAATTGGTCACAGCTTTTTTTTTTTTTTTTTATGCCTTCTGGTTGGAAAATATACTCAAGGAACAAAGATGGTTTTGTAAAGAATAACAAACTCTGGTCAGTTATTTAGATCCTGCGGTTTTGCTTTTGTTAGATGGATGATGGTCCCACCAGTTTTCAATAAAAAGACACCTCTAGTTCCCAGGGGCCAGAGTCTGGCTACCGTTGTGTTACCTCAGTCTCCATCCAGTCAGCCAGTCAGCGGTCCTGACCAGAACGACCGCCAGGAGGGGAGACCAAGAGAAAAGAGCTCTCCCCAAAGAGGCAGGACACATGCCAAAGTAATTCCGCAACATGTGCTGACATTAAACACTGGCGCATATTAACTTTCCATATGTCTCGCAACTCAGCGTTTCTGCAAATGCCCGCAAAAAAAAAAAACCTTAGAAAGCCTCTTTGTCTTTGTGCTGTCTGAGGATTAATTTGCAGCTCTCGTATTTCATCTTTCCATTCCGTTTAGTGCAGATATGTGAGGCCAGACTCCTCTCACCAGGGAGGAGAGCTCTCACAAGGAAAATATCAGAAAGTTTCCACACAATGTATCCGTCTTTGCTATTAGCTCTGAATGGAGTGGTTGCATAAGAGATTAATAAATCATTCTACGTGGAATTATTGCTGCTACTTCGCACTGTCAGTCATCCGTGATATGTTAATTTATGGGACTTAATGGAGAATTTAACTTCTGGTGCACTCGTGTCAGAGCTGTAAATTAGAGCTCTGAGCTAAATCATTTCCTCTGCTGCATTTTACAAGGACAAACAGTAATCTGTCCATATCATAAACTTTTAGACGCACTTGAAATGACTGGATTCAACCTAATGTTTTACAAGTTACTACTGTAGGCTACAAAAACTTTTTTATATGCACAACATCCTGCAACATTTTTCAAAAAGTACTTAAGAACTTGATTGCAAGGATTCTGGCAATTTTCCTACTTTTCTTTGGGGGTTGGGGGGAGAAGTATGTTTCAACACAAAACTGAAACAGCAGACAGAAAACATAATCACTGAAATGATTTTTACTCTTCTAAGTGTTCTGCTAAATTACATACGAAACAAGCTTCGGTTTGCTAATCTTAGCGAGAAAATTGCTGCCGAATACTTCGTTTATCCAATCTCAATTGCTATTTGAATACGAGGCAACTGAATCCGGATTTTGTCTAAAGGCAATAATTCTTGTTACTAACAGTCAGACTAAATCCATTTTAAATGAGAGGGGAAGGAATAACAGTCAACATGGAATCACTCACATAAGTAAAGAACATTCAGCAATAACTTTATTCAATGTATCATGGACATACAGTTCATTTATCTCTTACATCATTTCTGCAAAATAAATAATAATAAAAAAAAAATCATATTCCTTAAATTTCAGAAACCAGAGGAGATAAATAGGAAAGAAGAGAAGGAGCGATAAAGAGCAGGACAGTTTATGTGAGAAGAGCAAAGCCAGGTGGCTTCATTTACCTTGAGCATCTATGGAGGACAGCAGAGCTGCGAGGAAAGCAGCCGCAGCCAGCGACAGCCTTATCTTCATGTTTGACCCTGAAGGATCAGCAGCACATCAATCAATCTGTCAGGACAGAAAGGATGTTTGAGCTACTGGCCTACACAGCTATACCACGGCTAGTGTGAGATATGAAGGTCAGCAGGAAGTAGCATTTTCAGTTGGCAGATTTAACAACTGATCTGAAGTGCGTCATTATGTATCCTAGAAGAAAAACCATTAGATTTATCGAGGCTTCTTTACACAATAAGTGCCACACCTTGCTGCTTTCAGTCCACACCCATACCCTGAGGTGTATAATTAACACTGTAGAGGGATTTAAGGGGGAAAAAAAACTGTTTAACACAAGCTCATCTGGTTTCAAGTTTTTGAGGGCACACACTGCAGAGCTGATAGCTTTCTGACGGCCTTTGATCTCTTTGGTGGTTCACGATGCAGATCACTACATGCACTAGAGGCTAATCTGCGGTTTTCACTTACTAATGTCCTGCAGGGCATGTCTAAGTGCCCCTTTTAGGGCAGCCAAAAACTCACTTTGAACACAAAAAAAAAAAAAAAAAAAAAACCTCAATTTTTTTTCACAGACTTTTAGGGGAAAAAAGGGAGATTAAAATGT